CGATAATATATAGTTTAAAACTTATATTATCTTTATTGATTAAATTGAGTAATTTAATATGTAGATTATCATAATATATTATTAAATGGTTGAAAATTTGTCATTATAATTTAAATTTTGTAAATATTACCCTTTACATTATTTATTATACACATGCAAATATTAAAATGAAAATAAATGACCAAACCACTTAAGTAAACTCGATGGTCAAGTGAAACCATGGCTTTTRCAACCTGTTTGGAGTTTATTTTAAGATAAGTTTAGTCTTAAGGCTGGTTCACCAAGGCCAATTAAGGCCGATTCATCACGGCAATTCGGGTAGGGTAAGRTCAGTTCCAAGGGTAATAGGGTCGATTCGAGTTTAGTTCTATTTGGTTCCGGGTACAACATACCCATTTGCTCACCCTTCTTTCCACATTGTCATTATGAACACGTATGCCTATTCTCAAGTCTCAACTCCCTTCYCTCGCTGCAYCAGCACTCCCTCTGGAACGTTCTCCTTTCTTCTCTGTTGAGTTCTCACATATTCTCCGTCTTCCGACTATCTTCTCCGGTGAGAGCATTGCGAGATCAGTACCCAGGTACGTCCTATTTCTCTTGTTATCGTTTGTTGTTATTTCAAACGGATATCTGCGGTGAGAATATTGTTGCAATATCTTTTACTGTTTGTTGTTATTGCGTTATAAGGGRGAACCGAAGTGTGCATTCCAAAGAGGGAACCAAAGGTACGACCTCTATCTTTTACTGTTCTTCTCCACCCTCTTTTCTTGGAAGTAAACCCATATGTAAAGCAAGGTTTTAACGCTTTTGTATTGTATAACCATGTCGTTCATTTAGGTCTCCCTTTATTTCTGGGTAAATGGAGATTATATTGGAATCTTGCTTATGCTCTCTGCTTCTGTCGTCTCAGAAGTTGTCATTTTGGCGACGTAACCTTTTTGATGCAATCATCAATAGCATGTCAATTAAAAATAAATGAGCTCAAGCCACTAAAAATARGACGATACCAATTGATAAACTCCTAAATTTTCAACAGTAGAAGAAGAATATAAATTAAGAATTAGCAATAATAAGTTCCTTAACTAAGACTCAGTTTGGAAGGAGTACAAAGMCAAATATGCAGAGTGCAAAACCTTCTAATTTGTATTATTTTGTATGTATTTGTACTGTACATATCTGTATTCGCATTCCTTCCAAAYTGTGTGGACAGAGTACAAATACAAATATGTAGGGTGCAAAACCTTGTATTTTGTATGTATTTGCATTGTACATATTTGTATTTGTACTCTTTCTAAACTGAGCCAAAAGAATTTTTCCTCTCTTGTTGAACTCTTTTCTGTTATGTTATTACTTTGTTATTTTACTTGCACAAGGGTAGCTATCGTGCTATTGGTATTGGAATGCAGCTCTATAAGTTTTATTGAGATTGATTTTTAGAATTTTCACCTTGGGAATTCTTCAATGCCATTTCTTAAATCTTAATCCTTACTTGCATGCCATTATTTTTGCATAGGGAAGTAAATTAGTTGGTGTTTGAAGCCATGGTTATTATCCATGTAATCACAGAACTGGATGGGAGTAATCCTGGTATTATTGAAGTTTTGGGTGGGAACTTGGAATGCTTGTACTTTAGGACAGCCAGAAGTTCACACTCATTGACCTGAAATTAAGGGGATAACAGTAACCAATATCTCTGGCAAGAAATTGGATACAACACATTAGTAGTTAGGACATCCAAGACATTTTGAAGTTTATTGACCTGATTTGTTGTCTTTATTTGTCAATGCATTCCATGTGTTGGAAAAGAAAATGCATGACTACTACTTGCCATAATTATGGAATGGGTATTTATAACCAATTCTTGAGGACTGCTTGGCTAACACGTTCGTTATTTTTTTATTTGATTTCACTTCTAAATTTGGCATTTCAATTTTTCCATCATGTAAATAGCAGATTAATCAATGCATTCAACTACTATACCATTTAATAATGTTATTAAAACCAATCCTTCTACCAATTTGCCTAACCTGTTTACAATACTGTCTTATAGTAGTTACCACCAACTTTGATTTGTCCAGTGCCCCTGTCATGTGGTATCATTTTATAGAAGCTATACCAACATGATAGGTTACAAACATCTTTACATCTTTTGGCTCTGTTTGTTTGCAATGCAAATTCATTTGTGCTAGTACACATGGATGGGAGTGCGGGTGATAATGTTGCCATGGCTTTAGGTTAGACTATGACTTTTTAACAAATTTGTATTGGTGGTTTATGTGTGAGAGAAAGAAATGGAAGTGTTTAGTGAAAGAGATAGGGAGATGGAGAGGGGGGAAGAAATAAAGGTGGTGGTGATTAAACTATTCTATTATGCTTCTCTTGTCAATGGTTATTTTTCCTTGTTGAATTGTACGGATAGATGGCATCAAATAAGAAAGATAAGCAAGTAGCTTCAAGTCAAACTAGGGATACAAATAAGAATGAGCAATTTGATATGGCATTATGGCCAAATGGACCCAGAGGGATGAGAAGATTTTTATTGAATTGATGTGCGGTCAGGTTAAGAAGGGGAATCGATCCCACCACAACATTCAACAAACTGGGTGTTGCTATTAGAAATGCATTTTTAGCTAAGACTGGCAATGACTATCGAGACACAATTCAGAAACAACTAACAAGTTGAACAAGTTAAGGGCATATTATACAGGGAATTTGAGAAGTTGATGTCACATTCTAAGACTTATGCATGGGGATTTTGAAGACTTGATTTTATGTGGTTTGATCCAAAGAAATGGTCTTCAGAAACAGTGCAATCCAAACACCATTTCTCTACAGAAACATGTTTCAGGAACATTCTGCCAAATGTGTCCTTTGTTTCTCAGAAATTGAAAACAAGAGAAATGTTTTGGAACATTGAATTTTCTTAGGAACAGAAACAAGTAGGAACAATGCCAAATGGAGCCTTAGAGTTATTTGCGATCTGAGCATGGAGTGGGGATGAGAAGTTACACCACCTTGAAGCAGGAAAAAATTAGTCTCTTAGGAGATTCACTAGGGGTTTGGAGTCAGGGCATGATAAACTCAGCTAGGGATTGTCGCGCGCAATTTCTTAGTTACAGTCATTCATCAAGCCACAAGTTTTAATTGAATCTATTAGACCTAACTTTGGTTTCACCTAATCACTACAAGTTCATATTGTTAGATGCTTCTCTGATGAGTTATGAATGCAACTTTACCATGCTTAGTTTGCCTTTGCCGTTTAATAATCTTTATTGGAAAGTAGTATTAGATTATTACTTTATTATTTATTTGATTTCCTCCCTCGTATTAATTTCATCATTGTTTTTTTAAAGCTGCAGGTTTCAGTGGATCAATATTATCTACTAGCTATTGATTCTGGCCATACATAATGCCTAGGCACAGCATTTTCATCCCTCTTGATTTCAAAATTTTAATACTTTGATGTATTATTTCATCTTGTCTACAGAAGTTTATTGCTGTACTGATCCATCATTTGATTTCATTATTTTCTAGGTATTATTGTGATTATTGCGACACATACTTAACTCATGATTCTGTGAGTTACTAACCTCCTTTCCATACTCCCATTTATTTATTTATTTTTTTTAAACAAGCAAATGACATGGTTCTACTGATTTTCCTCTGCTCTGGAAGGTTCTCTAGAAGTGATTTAAGATTTTTTTGGTATTTTGATGCTTAAATGCAATAGTAGTGGGGATATTTGTTTTCCTTTTTACAAGGAATACTTATTATTAATTCCTTTCCATTTGGAATTAAGGGTTGGCTATGTTGATCTAGTTTCCAGATGGATATAGTTTAGGTTGATGTAACTCCTTCTAACCTCTTCTCCTATTGGGCATTCCATTCCTTACCTGCAGCTTTTTTTGATAGATAAAATAATTAAATCACAATAAAGTGAGTGTTCATAACATCCAAGAACCACGCGGGAGGGGCCTGCAACCATCTAATTTCAGACACAATTTTTAGCATCACTGGTAACCTTATGAGCAGGTCCGTTTATAGATCTATGAATATAGACAAAACTTACTTGTTCATGTTTTTAGTCATAGATTTAAATATCATCTAAAGTTCTAAAACGTGACCATGGGATAGAAGAATAGTGGGAGTTTCTAGTATTAAAATCATTCAAGGAGTCTGGTTGAATTAGAATTGAATTCTATTCCTGATAGCTGATACCTAGCAAAAAAAGAGCTACCTAAATAGCCTTCTGCTCAGCTTCAATAGTTCCATCCTGTAAATCACAACTTTCCCCTGCAGCACCACAAAAAACATTATCAGAAGTGAAACAGACAAGATTCAGCCCCATCACCTCTATTCTGTTTGTAATTTTCTTGATCAATTCTGTTCTGTCTGTAATTAATCAAGAAATCTCGAAAAACTTGGGTCTCCATCCTCTCTCATTGGATTTTCCCCGAGACAGCCAAATACTCCTTTTCTCGTTAATATAGCACCACCATCCAGCCTCTTCCTTCTTCAGCCACTAAATAATAACTTTGGATCCCCCTTAATTACTGGCTTCTGAATGTTCAGCTCTCTAGCCCTTTGAAGACTTTCCATCACAGCCATTATTTCAGCCCTCAAAGAATCTCCAACACCAATCGATCCTGAGTAGGTAGCAATGATTTTTCCTTCCTCATTTCTAAAGACACCCCCTATGCTTGAGGGACCCAGATTTCCTTCACTACTCCCATCAAAATTCAGAGGAGGGGACCAAGTTGGTCTTACAACAACCTTACTAGGAGCTGAGTCAACAACAACTTTCCAATTCCTCACCAAATCATCTACTAGGATTCTTTTGAAAAGATCAAGAGACTTCACCTAGTGGATCACCTTAATTGTAATGATTTCAATTAGGGCATTCCTACTTCTCTCCTTATCAAGAAAGATCCTCTGGTTCCTTTCTTCCCATGCTGTCCAACACATAACCGCCCTTGTAATAAATATCTTCCCCTCTTCTTCGACCAACTAACAAAGGTAGAGGCAAACAAGCTTTGCACATTTGGCGGGGGGTTCCACCTACACCCAAACAAAGAGAGAAGCCATTCCCATATTGGTGAAATAAAAGGGCAAGGGATTAATAAATGGTAGCAAGGCTCACCATCAACCTTACAAAGAGAGCACCGGTTAGGGGATAAGCACCAATTTGGTCTTTTCTTTGAAGCAAATCAAAAGTGTTGATTCTCTCCTAATAGGATTCCTAAACAAAATGCACCCACACAAGGTGGGATAGGCTTGCTCTAAACCTCCCTTACAGGAAAAGGCGTCCCTAGACTATCCCCTGGCTTAAGGCTAAAAAGAAAGAGGCACAAGAGAATGACCCAAAAGAAGTAAGAGTGCAAATTCGACAATCCCTTTTAGTAGGGTCCAAAAAACCCCAACCAACATTTGGACAATAGACACAAGAACACTCATTTCCAACTCATGAAGCCCCCTCTTGAATCCCAAGGTCCAGTCAAACCTAGATGAAGAACTAGAAGGCACAATGAAAGAAGAAATAGGCTCATCCTTACGATTGAAAATGGCATAGAGGGAAATTGCTCCTTCAAAGGAGAATTATCCAACCATGCATGTTTCCAGAATTTGACACAATTTCCAGAACAAGGATTATACTTGACAAATG